GACATGTTTCGCTTCTACACTCTATCAATGTATTCGTCAACTTAAAGCAACACCGATGCCAAGTGTAGCCGAATCAACCACAGTACATTGTTACCATCTTGTGGATCATATTTTTTATAGTCTGTTTACCATCTCGTCACACTATTTTTCGACCTGAGTATACATAGGATTGTTACACAGCCGTACGCTACGCTACGCTACTTACATCCGTGCTAGTGCGCTCCACGACGGTCATTTTTTGTCTGCTGAAGTTGACTATGAAGTCAGCGAAATGTCACACTCTAATCTACTACTGGCTGTGTTAGTCCTTAAGGTCATTATGGCATTTCCAATGAAATCTACACTTCGAGACTACGGGGAAATCGGTACATAACCTTAATAGTAAAGCTAATTCGTCACTAATAAATTCAGTGCTTTTCATTCTGATGACTGTCATTTCCCAGTCAGAGACGTTTTTCGCTACCATTGTAAAGCTAACGCCATTGTTTTGGACAAACCTTGAGAGAGCCTTTACGGATACTGCTGCTCAATTTAAGGAGAGAAACACCAGTCACTAATGTGGTAGAACACGGTAATATTTTGCTGAATATTAATTTCGGAAGTTTTAAAACTATTTCATTACGTTATTGCAAAGTTCGGCTATAACATATATGGTCCCTAGGAATTTGTTATAACCGGAAATCGGAGGATTACAATAGAACAAAGTCTTTCGTGAAGTGCAGACATTTCGACCTCTTACAATACCTCAGCCCATCTTATAACCGAGGTGAAGATTCTTTCAGGTTTCCTTACCAAACCAGAACATGTCTCCAGACATCGCGATTATACGGAAATGGGTGGAGACCATGGTGAAATGCAATATTATAAACTGACATATTAAAGATGTGTCATGATCATCGGGCTTGGGAGTGGAAGAAGATGTTGAGCAAGATAAGACACAGCTTTACTGGCCTGGACTACTGAGGCAGCATGCAGCAATATGTGGAGTATGCGAAAAAAAGGTGAAAAATAAAAATACGAGAAATTTTATGATGAGGGTTGGTTCGTTTATGCCCATAGAAAGAATAGCAACCGATATCCTTGGTGGTGACATGCCACTGACCAGCAACGGAAATCGATCTATCAGTTAGGATTATTTTACGAAATGGACCGAGGCCTTTCCCTTTCCCGTGTCTAACATGACAGTAACTATCGTTGCCGATATCATAGAGACGTATTGATAAGGTTTGTGTACCTGTAGTGATAAACTCTGATCAAGGTAAACAGTTCTAGGCACAGGTTTTCTCACTTTGTGAAAAAGTGTTTCACCTTCACCACTCCATATTATCCGGCAGCAGATGGTATGGTTGAGAGATTTAATCGCACATTGATTTCAATGTTGGGTTCGTATGTTAATGACCACCTCATGGACTGACTTTTTAATATCATGGCATACCAGTCTATGGCACATGGGTCTACCGGTAACAGCCATGTCCTTGAGCTAGGCAGGGAAGTCACAGCACCTATCTATATCATCCCATCAAATCAGCGGGATAGAGAAGTAAAGGAGAAAATGGGGGCAACACATACCCATGTTAGGCAAAATTCCAGTAGGAGATCTGGACTGTGTATACTATCCAAAATATCAACTAGGTTCACACAAGTTCACAAGCTATTGGAGAGGACCATTCGAATTGGACAGAACATTCTCAAATGTTGCCAACAATTATTCTGTGGTGTCCATGGAACGCCCAAAATAGTCTATGTGGACCAGACTGAAAAGACGACAACAGTTGGCAGGGGAGTCGTCTCCTGTGGCAAAGCTCCATGGAAAGGAATTCCAAAACTCAAAAGCAAGGAAAATCCAGTGACATGAGAGATGGAACTGAGACATTTGAAGCAAGTGACAGTGTATGGGAGTGTGCTTCCTGCGCAACATACATGACGGCCACGAAGCTGGTTTTCTGAACATGTAACTGATTTTAATGGCGTTTTGGTGCAATTTGTATATATGGCAATCCAATTACCGTCTGAACCTAGGTAGTTTCTGTTTAACTTTTAAACGGTGAAGACAAAGACTACGCCCCAGAAACAGCAGAGGTATCCTGTGTGTTTCTGCATGCGTGTTGGCATTGAAAGATGCTGAACATTTTGCTAAGGTTTTCGAGAAGTAGAGAAGTCCTACATTTCTTTTTTCAGTTCACTGCCACCTCTGTTAGTCAAGAACCAGTACAGAACAACCAACAAAATCGGGGCTTTCACTGAAGTGGACAGGTGATAGAGATAAAAAGAATTAAATGACCATGTGATCTTGCTAGCATCATTAAAGTCAGACAAAAAATAGGACGCTATATTATGCCACGTCACTAATAAAATTAAAAATAGCGTATGTCATCACCAAGAATGTTTAACATTTTTCCGTGACAGAGAATATCTACAAGTCGCTAGGTGTCCTAATACCGCTGACACGTCGTTGCAGGGTCAGTGGCAGGACATGGCTTTTGTGAGTAATTTGGGTATTTTTGCTTCCAAATCTTCTTAGTTGGTCATATGGTTATTTTAACACAATTCATTGCCATAATCGTCAGTAACAGAACTGGGCACAAGTCATTACAACATTATTTAAGCTCTTTTCCAACATCTTATGCATTTCGCAAACAAAGAGGTCATAAATCTAAGCTTATAATTAAATACGTACTGGAAAGTTACATTGGTACCCGAGGTAAGAAAACAAATTAGACTTATTGTAAATTAAAATCTATTGTTGGATTTAATGACATTATGCACATTTTTAAATATGTCATGAGTATCTACAGACAGATTTCTTTTCCAGAAAGAAATAAGTTGAAATTCAAAACCAAGGCTACATATTCCAGATGAAGGAATAGCAAACGTCTCTGCTGTTCATAATGGGGACAATCAAAGGAAAATTGTAAAGCATTCGATGGCACAATTTTGGGTGAATCATATTTAACTTCCTGTCACCAAACCCGTAGTAGACTGGGGGTTTTGTTGGTTTGAAGTTTTAGAAGTTTTGAAAGTTTGCAAAGATGGTGAAGATCTAGATGTAATATCATGTGCATTCCATTGTCGAATTGTGGAAGGAAAAAAGACTTGATCTCTATTGTCATACTACAGGTGTCTAGTATTATCTAGGATAAATATTTATTAGATATCTGGCAATTATCGTGTAATAGAGAAATCGATGTCTATTTCCCTAAAGCTGTAGGTTGATTTTTCAATTTTTACTAAAGTGCAATTAAACCTTGTTGTTTAAATATCAATATATGTTAATTGGTAGATAGTATCAGAACATTGTAAAGGGTAATATTAAGTTGGTCAGGTTGATAAAAATTACAAGAGAAAACACCATCATGTCAACAGAATGATGATCCAAATTCAAATTCGGTCAAACCAGGGCAATCAACAAAAGGACGGTTTAGAAGGAGATGTCCGGAACAGGCACAGGAATGAGTGTCTTCTAATTCATCGACGACAGTCGCCATGTCAATATTTGTCAATTCGAGTAAGTTATGCTAGTTTTCAGATGAGAACAAGGTATACAACAACGGAACCAACAAGCCAACTAACGAGCATCAAATACGCCCTGCTTCATATTGTATAAAAATAGAATATTTCTTAATAAGGTCACTCTGGCGACCGTTAAACGTCCACATAATATTCATCAACCTGCATCTTATGAAACCCTGTGTTACGCGGTTGTACATCTTACACTGAAATCGTGACAATGGGAACAAGACCTTGGGTCAATTGCGACATGTTAACATCATACATTGGGGATGAGGTTGCTATCCAGAAATGGAAAAGATCACAAAAGGGAAATTGAAGACATCGATGCTATACATCTATTTATAATACAAGTAAAATATTTATATATATCACAGGCTGTTTTCAAGTAGTGTGATACGGAACTATAGTCTCGTCACTCATCTCGTTATACGTTTGTACTAGTACGTTACCAATGTTATATAATTGGTAACGAAATATTAATTTGCGAAATGTATTTTTGTACATCCTACCATCGTAATGTTATTAAACTCTCTGTGTGTGCGTGTGTGTGTGTGTGTGTGTGGTGTGTGAAAAATATAACTGGGCCTAAGTATACGTATTTGAATTGCCTGAAGTATATGTATTGCACTTGATTGCATGCGTTAGCAAATAAGAGTATCTGTGATTGAATTTAAGACAAAATAGACATGAGTGAGGAACTTCTAACAAAGAGGACCAGCGACTTTCGTTTTAATGAGTAAAAGGCTCCTTTTTCATTGATCAATTCAGGTAAAACGAGTTGATTCATCGTCCGAAAACCAAACAGAAAAATGGTGTTAAGACTGCAGCTTGTTTTCATGTCTTTAGTTAAAAAGTTAAAGCTGAGTAGCTGGTATTTACTCAAAGAATGTAGCAATCAGAAACATTCGCAGCGCCCAGATATTCTATGAACGCAACCAGAAAAGATTCGTGACAACGGATAAATTTATATATCTAAATAGTATATGGTAGGCCCACGTGTCTGTCTCAGGGATTCCCCACGACACATTTGACACAGCTTAAACATCACAGTCCGCTTGTACGGTACTATACTGATCACGGTACCGCAACACATATGGCACATCGTCGCCCGCTTACTGGTTCAATTATGGTATTACCTCAATACATGTGGCACATCTTCGCCCGTGTAGATTATATATAATATATAATATTGATGAAATTGATATGTTGTTACCTCCAGGAGGTGTGTGTAACTGTTAAGTATGTCTTACGAGTTTACATATATCTTAGTGTCCAAGATAAGATATTATCAGATAAGATCTATGAAAGGATATGACATATTCATCTTTGATCTTTGCTGTTAATAAACTGAAAGTATTTTTCTGAAACATATTGTTAGCACATTGTCGTATACGTTTGAATAACATAAGTAGATTCGTGTTTTCCAGGTACTGTAATCAAGTGGACCTTACAAGTGGACATCTTACAACATTATATCAACATAGGGTGCCATGACACCACTGAACAAGTTCTGGTTTCTTGCTTTCCTTGGCTGTAGTATTGCTTTTTATTACAACTGTATGTATATTGACGACAGATCCAGAGGGAAACTAAAGGAATCGTACGATTATATAATTGGTATGTACATCTCCTGATGTGTGCGTCTTTATCGCGTTTGTAGATAAGTAACGCCGATCTCTTATCTCTGTAGAACCACGTGGAGTTCGGTTTCAGGAAAAGCTGCCAATATCTTTATATAAAACACTTCAATATCATGTTAAACCATGAAATGGTAACACACCACAAACACGTCATGTGCCTCCCGGAAACGTGTAATTAGAATTTTACAAATTATTAAGGAATTAGTCTTTCGGATTTGTCGTTGAGTATTAAATGATAATTACAAAGTTTAGAAGATATTCCCTGTAACCAAATTTCGTACACATACAAAATATTGCTTTATAGATACGTACAATATACTTGTCGTAAATGTTTAATTCAAAACGAGAAATCCTAGTTGACAAGATGTTTATATTTACTATTTTGCTTGTAAAACGTCTGTATGATATAGAAGAATTTTATTTTCGAGAAGCCATGGTGCTATTGTACTACAATTTAAATCTTTTAACAAAACGAAAAACAAAACGCTGCCGTCTTACCACTATTACACACACATTAGAACGTAAAAGGCATCCGTATGTTTTGGTATTGTGTTCTTGATATTTAAGACACTGATGTAAGTACATTTGTCACTCGAACAGTTGGTGGAGGTACGGCGGGTTCCGTGCTAGGGAATCGCTTATCTGTGGATGATGACATCACAGTGGCTATCCTTGAGGCGGGAGGGGCGGCTGACGATGATCCACGCGTGACCACACCGTATTATTTTCCAAGCATCCAAGGGACAGAACTCGATTGGAAATTCTATACTACTCGCCAACAACATGCTCTGTTCGCCATGAAAAACCAGGTAGAACATCTCATAAATAATCATATTTGCCAGTTTCAGACTTTCCTCACAATGCGTCTTGTTTTTGTGTCATCTATAACATTCAGGTACTTTTCTCACCCGTGTAGCCGTCCGACTACGTAGGATTTCATAGTGATGCATTTTAGTCTCGTTATCACGTATTGCACCTGATGAATGTATTGTTTCCTATGCATTTTAGGTAGGATATTTACCACGTGGTAAACTTCTGGGCGGATCTAGTAACCTTAATGCCATGGCGTATAACCGGGGTGGGCGTCTGATGTATGACATGTGGGCAGCTGAAGGATGTGACGGATGGAGCTACGATGACGTACTTCCGTATTTCCTGAAGTCAGAAGATAATCAGATGTCGAGCTTAAAAAACTCAAGTGAGTTTATTTAGTTAGCGTCTAGATTTAACAATCTAGATGTTGTTCAGCCAACTGTGCTTTTTTCCCTTTTAATTCAGTTTGCAACGCATACTTACCGGTATATTTTTATTTTGCTGCAGTCTATCATTCCCGTGGAGGTCCACTCCCCATCTCAGAAGTCAAGGTAACACCACTCGCAGACCTGTATGCTGAAGCATGGAAGGAAATAGGAAATAAGGTTATTCCCGATAATAGCGGACCAAACGTAGCCGGTAAGAGTTATTTGATGTAAAAAATCCAAACGGAATTCTTTCTCGATCCATCTCTTCAGATCTCGGATCAAATTTCAGTCAATGCCTAGATTGCAACTCTGGTTAGCTTCCGAAATAGTCGCTTGTCAATCTACGATTTGATGAGCGTTTCCTTTTCTGTCGTGTGCCACAGAGTAAGAAATAAATACGGTTTTAGAGTGAAGACACAGTGTGAAGGCCATCACGGCAAAAAGACATTAATTTTGTTGTTGATTTCACGTGTTTTATAAATTTCCATTCGTGTTTCTATGCTATCGAGAAACCCCTCTCAAATTTAGCACCGATAATGTTACGTAATAGTTTTGAAAACGAGGTACATTTGTACGTAAACAATGAAAGCAATAAAGCTGATAATGAATCTAGTCAGTGCTTCTTTATCCTTATTCGCAGGTTTTTGTACCATGCAGGCCAATATCAAACATGGTCAAAGATACAGCACGTCCCGTGCTTTTCTTCTTCCGGTTATTCATCGCCTAAACTTAGATGTTCATACACAAAACCATGTGACCAAAGTAAGCTTTTTGAACGTCCGATGATCATGACAAACAGTAAACGCTACATTTTTGTCCTGCTAAAGTATAAAAGAAATGATCCATACCTCGAGCTCTGTTTGCTCTAAATGTCAAGAAAAGAATACCAAACAATCGAATTGGCTGTAAAATCTTGACATACCCTTTTCAGAATAGGGAAGCCGTTTATTTTTAACCTAGTTTAATTTATATGTACATATAAAAATTTCATAATAACATATTTATGAGCAAAGGTGAGCGAAACTATGCCATACTGGCCTAGGAGGCCAGGCGCCACCAGAGAACATGTATATTATGTTTATACCGAATAGAGTTCATTTTGATGTGTCTTCAATAGAGTGACAGTATCATCTATTATTTGGATATAGCTTACTAGTAATTTCCTAGTGCTCAGATGGAGAAATCGTTTTAAGGGTATCTTAAAGCCGGCCTTTTGTATTGCTGTTTGTGCGGGTCCTGTTCAGGTGGTGATAGAGGACGGACAAGCTGTAGGGGTAGAGGTAGTTCATCATGGAGAGCTGCGAACCGTTAGAGCGAATAAGGAAGTGATTCTCTCGGCGGGGTCTATCCAGTCTCCTCAGCTCCTAATGCTCTCCGGGATAGGACCTTCGGAACACCTTAAGGAAATTGGGGTAAGACACACAATACAGACAGGTTTAACTCGCGGAGCATACACGCACAGGGGATTAGGCTTCGAAACGTTATCAGGTGAATGGATGTGAGGCATTATTTACCTCAGCATAAGACTCATAACTTAAGACAATACGAAGAAAGTTGAATCTGTTGTCCTAAAACTTTCCGGAGAGACATATGGTGAAGGCAAAACGTTTGCTGCATGCTGTTGGGTTAGGGTTAGAAGGATTATCGTTCGTGATCTTATTGATGTGTTTGAGGGGTTGCACTTTCAGAAAAATTTGATTACGGGAGAAAATACATGTAATAAGGCGTATCTTTATTGAGCATAGAAATAAGTCTTCTGTTGACAATGAAAAAGATCGCTGAACCATCTGATGAAGCATGGCTGACAGTAAGATAATGAAATAGTACATATTCTTGTATAGGAGGCCAAATGACGAGATAAGCAATACTGTTCTACCACTGACGTATCAAACAATCGCCTACAAAAGCAGCAGAAATATGACCTGACCTTAAACTAGCATTGAATTATTACATACAGTATGTCGTACAGTTTATCAACGATCTGTAACGAAAATTGCCCGGAGTCTTTATCTGAATGTTATCTATTCTTTTGCAGATTCCCGTAGTTGCTGACCTCCCTGTTGGTGAGAATCTGAGAGATCATCTGATGTTTGCGTTCCGTCAGCTGACCAACACTTCATACTCAACTACAGATGAAGAGGCAGAGTCCCTCGTAGAGCGAATACGGTACCATGTTCTAGGCAATGGTAGGCAACTGTATTCCTGTTTTGACACTTCAATAAGTTGGTTTCAATATAGATATTTGTTAGCATGAAATCACGTGTTGTCATTCTGTAGTAAACCATTTCTGTAGAATATTGTCCAAGTGGTTTAAAACCGTTTATGTGCTTTATTTTCCTATCAGGTAAGGTTATTATCAACCACATCTTTATTAACAAAACTTAAATCTTATCATATCTCTTGACAAGAAAACGTTTCGCTGAAGCCAAATGTTTTAAATAAGGTGACTATGCTAATGCATTGATTAATATGGACACACTACAGGACCTCTTTCCTACGGCGGCCCAGAGGGATCGGCTTACTTCCATAGTGACAGTTCGAAGGAAATCAGTCAACCACCGGATCTTCAAATCTCTTTCTTCAGCAAGTCTGCCTCAACTTCGGAACAGAACACTGGAGAATTCAATTTCAGGGACGAGGTAAGTCATGATACGTAGGATGCGTGTGATTTCTCGTCAACTCTTGTTTAAATTAAAGGTTGTGACATGATAAGATTTTCAGGCTTGTATTACGAAACTGCTTATATAGTAGGAATAGTCTTCAGGAAAATATGGAAGAATACTTAGAGAACCATGCTACTCGCCTCTGGTAGTAAGTGATATTTCTGGCTACATAGGTAGGTCAACCAGATGTTTGTTGCCGAGATTTACGATCACACAGGTACACAATCTGGATTTCTTGATTTCACACATGACTCCTCTCACTCCACAGGTACACAACGTGTTGCCAGATGGCAAACGCAGTTTTTCTTATGGACTAATTCTTCTTCAACCAAAGAGTAAAGGTACAATCCGACTTCGTTCCAAAGACCCAGTTGATCATCCATTAATTGATCCAAATTATTTGGCAGAATCAGAAGATTTGGACACATTTGTAAAAGGTCAGCAAGATGAATTTGAAATACTTCATGTTATATTATAGCTATCACACATTTAAAGTTTTTCTTTTAAATGTCGGCCATTTTCATGTTGATAATTGTGATTCGATTTTTATAAGTGTACTATATCAAAGCGGTATTGTATCTAAACATTGTTTAAAGTTATGTTAGCAATAGGCAAGTCGAACCAGATATCTTATTCTCTCATCTGTTAGGTTTATGTGTACTTTTTCATCCGTGTAACCGAAACTATGTGTACTTAGGTATTCGTGTCTGTGAGAGGCTAGCAGGAACATCCACAATGGCCGCGATAGGAGCAAATGTCTCGGATGCTTTCCATCCCAAATTGTGCAAGGACCACTTACCTGGAAGTGACGAGCACTGGAAATGCATGGTTCGACACCTGGCATCAACATTGTATCATCAAGCATCCACGTGTAGAATGGGATCGGTGGAAGACCCAACCACTGTTGTCGATTCGAAGCTAAGGTAAAGTTAGCGATAAAGCACATAGGTAAACGATCCTTGAAGGATATATTTAGTCACAACAAACACCGAATATTTAGCGATAACGTTCCACTTCTTAAGTGATCCTATTATTTAGATCACATGAATATACTTTTTACATAGGACCCATATATAATACTGTGTTGTTGTAAACTTAAGATTATCTGTGGGCACGAAATGTGTCGCTATGTGATCGTTTCAATAACGTCCTTTATATTGTGGTATTGTAAATCACTTTTGCATGTTATTTTTTTTATTAAGTCTTTCGTTCGTACTTTTTGTATATTCCATGATGATTACTTCAAGAGAACTGCTTGTAACGTTGGAAACAGAAATCCTTCTATAACGAATCGTGTAGGTGAATCTCGACACATTTTATATTTATATTTGTAAAATATAGGAGTTAACTCTCGGGGAATAATCACCAGCTGTATGTTATTTGGTTACCAGCAATAATGAATCTTTATTTCTGAAGTTATATAAATCCGTATTTTCAGGGTGAAAGGCGTGGCGGGGCTTAGAGTGGTAGACGCTTCAGTCATCCGGGACCTTTATTCCGGATCTCCGCATGCGCAGGTCATCATGATAGCGGAGAAGGCTTCAGATATTATCCGAAACATGGACACGGTTCAACACCTCAAGAGAAGGAGTACAACTTAATGATGATATTACCTCGTTACCTTGTTTTGTTCCGTGTGTTTTTATTTTATTTATTCACACGTTGCACAAAACTTGTGACTATAACAGCACTTTTGTCAACACCAAGACGATTGTCCCCTCATTGGTGTTCGTAAAACGGTGTTGAGATTTTACCATTAATCGTTTGTCAAATGAATCTCAAGCAAAAATGTTCACGAAAAAACAATGAAAATTAGCTTAGTGAAAGGTGTAATCACTTTTATATCGTTTGTACAATTAAACTGTCATATGGTGTAATATGCTGAAATGCACGAGATTTATCTGACCCAAGTGTCACTTTTCAATTCACTTGAAAAACTTTTTCGAAGTCCTTGCTTGACGATTTATACAAGGACCAAATACTTATACGGCGCTTTTTAGTTGTATTCTATCTCATTCGAAAGGTGCTATTCACTTTTGTCATTTATACAAATGACGTCACACACTACTTGTCCAGTTTTATTATCTGGTTCTGATACCTTTGACGTCACCGAGACATGCATTTTCCTTAGAGTTCATAACAAGTTGTTGATTATTTAACTGGATATCCTAGTGGCACATAGAAGACAATTGGAACATTCCGGAGCATGATTAAGAGATGTTGGGTCCTTCAATTAAACAGGTAACACGACACATTCCACCTAGATAGAAGTGTAAAATGTGTGTATGACGTTGGTTTAACAGGCTACCACGGAGAATGTTCTTTAAAGATTTAATGAAATGCAACCATTCTGTATAAGGTACACTCTTTAGTTTCGAGCGCTGCTTTTTAACTTTAAACATGAATTCCAATGTTACAAATATATCCAAAATGTCCAAGTTGATGAAATCAAGTTGTCTGTGAACTTAATACTCTGTTTTTACGTTTGTTTTTATCCATTTAAGATTCAATTAATAGCTTACCAGGTGCTATTCCTTAATGTCTTTTGTACAATCTTTAAGATTGCAGGTGGTAAGGTGATAACGTTCTTTTGAAATTACTAGATATGAAAAGTAAGACATTTATTGAAATAAAGAGCCATTTTTGATTTTTGACATTTCTTTTAGTTAATTTTGCTGAGCATATAAGGTTTTCAATTTAGGCCCTTAACGTCACTGACGTGTCCTACAAAGACGAATTGGATGAATGATGCAGTTTAATTTATTATTTTACTCAAAATTTGTATTAAAAGATTCTATTAACTTGTGCGTCTGTTGTACAATCTTTAAAATTCTAAAACAAATGAAACGGCTGTATAACGATTTTTATTCATTATTTGCTTATATAACATATTGCTCTATTTAAAGTCAAAATATTAAGCAAGTGTTTTGACAATTGTTTTAAAGCATGACCATTATGACGTATTTGGATCTTGAATTTAATTATTCTAGGCAAGGAGCTACTTCCATGAAAAGTCAAAGCCACTAGTAAGTTTACTTGTTGATTAGAAATATTTTTCTTACATTACACACAATATGTAATTCTGTATTTAAATATTGGATATCTATTTAACACGCACTGTGTATCCAAGCTCAAAGAATTTTAGTTGTGAAATAAATTGCTATCTATATACATTTTGTACTGTGATAATAATAAATCTGTAAAAATTACAGAATTATCTCAGGCTTTGTAAGTTACGAGAAATTAATTACAAATCAACATTTTCTGTAATGGTCGGTGCCAGTTTATTAACTTTCATTATTGAATTGAGGTCATCGGGATAACATCTCGCATTGGTTGTGTAGACGTACGAGGCACGAGGTACACTAACAACATCATAATAAACACTCGTCACATTGTAACGGACATTAGAATATGAAATAATGGTGGCTCGGAAAACTTGCCAATAGTGTTTATTGTAGTTTGCCTAACATGGCGATAAGCGGGTAGTAAAGATGGTTACAATATCCCGACTTATATTAAGGAATAAGCTTCTTATATAACGGAAAGTAATAAAATACACAAGTGTGTTTAAATAGTAAACATTATGACTTCATTAAGAGAAAGGTATTGCTTAAAACCGGTAAAACCACAAGGTAAGAAAGGTGGGGGTCAACATATATGGGAATTTAACATTAGCATCGGCCCCCACTTGGAATTTCAAAATATGATAACCATAAACAGATATGGGTATCAGAAGCTTAAATACGGAAAAGTTAGTCTCGGTTTTGATTTCTTATAAAATGGGAGCTTCTTGACTAACACCTTAGTGGGTGTTAAATTATACACCCGCTCAAAAGTTAAGCACCGCCATCTTCAAATTTGAAATCTGAACCAAAAATCACACATTTAGGTAGATTGTCAACACTGCTTAAAACGAGGTCATTTTATAGAGATGTAACACGCGTAAACCCTTGTGCATGATATGCACGTGCCAGGTAAAATTTGCTGTTACAAGGTCCTATCCCATGTCCTCTTCTCACCCAGGACCGATTGCAGTGGTGCAACACACGGCGCGGTTGGAATAGTCGGTCATGGAGACGTGTTCATTGGTCTGATGAAAGTCGGTTTCTTTTGCACGTTATTGACGGGAGAAGCCGGATATGGCGACCACGAGGTACTGCCTACTATCAACATAACATCCAGCCAGAAATTCCATTCGGTGGTGGGTCTATGATGGTACGGGGTTGCTGTTCATATGATTGTAAACTTGACCTCGTCGAAGTCCAAGGCAACTTCGATGGCGAAAAGTACCAGAATCAGATCCTTCAAACAGAAATTGTGCCTCATTTTGATAACCATACGCTGGTGAGCCGACCCATCCTAATGGACGATAATGCCAGACCTCACCGAGCCTTTGCAGTGAAGGAATATCTTCAGCGTAACGCCATTGACACTCTTCCTTGGCTGGCGAGAAACTCTGATCTGAATCCCATAGAATATTTATGGGATATTTTAGGCCGCCGGGTGAGAGCACCAGAGTCCCTGGTGTGCAAAATCTGGCAGAACTTGCACAGGCTCTTCGGGAGGAATGGGATAACATCCCCAAAAAGCAAATCAGAAGACTCATCACCAGTATGACGAGACGTGTTGAAACTTGCATCCGTGCAAGGGGCGGTCACACCCGATACTAACAAATATTTGTGTTAACAAAGAGAGACGTATCACAAATTATTGCATCACTTTTTTAATGATAAAAAGTTGACTGGTTCGTTAACATGAGAACATATTTTAGTTACTAAATTTGATGAAAAGTTTCAATTTTAAATTACTGCTGATAAAATATCAAATATTGAATTCATCTGGTGGTGCTTAATTTTTGAGCGGGTGTATAGTTGCTATGTAATTCCTTCTAGTGCATTATAATGAGGCATTTTCAATAAAATTATGTTATTAATGTGTGCACATTGTAACAACCAACATGTTGATACCACATATCACACTATTTCAGGAGAAATGTTTCTTTTATGTTGAAAAATGTAGCCAAAATCATATAAAAAGCCATTACTGTTTTGGACACTTCAATTTTTACAATTCCGAAACCAGTCCATCTTTCATACTTGCTTAAAAGTTGGTCACAGATATCTTTCAAAAGGAGGATTCTTGGAAACAAATGAAAATCGGTAAATTTTACACATTTGCTTATAAAAATTCAAGAAACACTAATTACTACTACTAAGGAAGTAGTTTGAGCCGAGTTGTTCTCTGAACAGTTTCCGCTGTTTCAGTCGACCATGGTATCTCTCCACAACCCATCTTGACTTAGTACACTGGCGGTCCTCGTTGGCAGTAAGTGTATCATGCTGTGTCTGACCTGACTGAAGATGGGAAGGCATGTACACAGAAAACCCTGAACCTCGCAGCAGTTCCAACATATCCCTAAATCCCCGGTCAACAATCACATTGTCATCTTCACTGAGCCACAAGGTCAGTTCTCAACTGTTCCCAGAACTTTCATTTTCATTTAGTACATAACCATCTGGAAAGACAATTCTCGTGAATTTAAAATAGTTTCGCTTCTTTTGCCCACAGTATGAGGATCTTTGAAGGGGGTCATCATCACTTTTCTGGACATAAATGTAGGTACCATCAAGGATGCCAGTTACTTTGTCCCCGTAGAAACATCTTGTAAGGATTGTGTTGGGCACTTAGCGTCCTCGCGGGCAATGTGTCTTGGACCAAGGAAACGGGGCACAATGTCTGGCTCAAGGCTTTTAAGACACTACAAAATGTGTAACACAGTTTTTTTTGTCAGACCACACAAGACACCAAGTTGAGACCATGAAATATTGGTCTTCAGTTTAACATAGAAAAGAAACAAAGCATGAAATGTAGAGGAACATGGTGCTCTATTGATGTGTGATGTGCAAATGCTATAGATTTGCTGCATTTGTTCAAGTGTGTAACCAGTCCATGCTTTGAATTCTTCATTTCTGAGATGGTCTACATCTATGCCTGTGTTGGTTGGCGTACCAGCAGAGAAAATGGCGTAGTTCAAGGTCATTGATACCCTGAATAGCTTTTTGAAGATGAAGAGCCAATGGTTCCCTTGTTTGCAGATCTAGTGGCAAAGTATTCAGAAAGTCACCAATTACGTGGTCATTGCAAACACGAGCATCAGGGGGACACCATAGAAAATATCAAGTTTGTCCTGGTACGCTGGGGTATAGTGCATAGCCCAGTGCCCTCTTTTCCACATATGACACATTTTTTATGTGAATTGCCACCATAAAGTAATTTCTTAACAGAGATTAGTGGTAGTTGGATGGATGACATGATATCAGTGTAAGCATTATCTGCATCATTCGCCAGGTCATCTGGAGTGCTTATACCAGAATGTTCATACAATTCAGACTGCAATGACATAATATGCTTTCTTCTGTTATACTTATGATCTCAGCAGTCAGTAGCTGGTGCAGCCAGTTATACTGGGGTAAACATACGTCTTACTTTAGCTCGGGCTCCTTGAAATAAATCTTTCAACCTGGTTTTGCAACCACGACCTATGTACAAGTCTGACATGATTTTCAGTAAACTTGATTGGAGATTTGTAGTAATTTGAATTTGATACAGAATGTCTGACTTAAGTGTAACTTTGTCTATGTAATTGTCTATAGATACTTAGCAAAAATGGTATGAATACTTTATAGTAATACCTTTATATGTTTCTGGAAATTAAAATACTTGCACATTCAGATGTCAGACAAGGTTATCATTTCTGGCCACATTTATTAATTATTAATAAGAATATCTAACTTATTTATATCCATTATTATTATGTTTAATGATAAACGAAGAAAAATGGAATGACGATAACATGTTATCAGTAATACTGATTATTTAATCATTGTTAAGCTTTAATAATACAAACTAAACTGTCAGTTGTTCTTTAGAGGATATATTTCCAGTGCAGAAAACACCGTGTTAAGTTATACCTACTGAATTTAATTTTAAAACAAATACAAAATACTTAATGTGCTTTGGTGCTACACAAAACTGGATAATATAGCAGTTTTTGGCACAAAAAAAACAACGAAAATAAATCTTCATGATTATAACAAATTATGAAATAAGCATGTTTAAATTGTTTGAAATATATTTTACCGCCTTTGAAATCACTTACAATTTATTCAATAGACAGCATATACACGTAGAAAGTTTTTTGAGAAGTATGAAATATAGACTGAGATTGCAACTATACAAAATGAACTTGGCAAACTTTTGATATATTCTTTATTTTGTGAAAATTTTGCTTTTTTATGGAAATCAAAGTTATCAATATGCTTACCTTTTTTATGCCAATATAACATTTGTGGTATCACAATAACGGACATTTTAAGTACTTTAGGCTGGTATATAAATATTTTCATTTAAAATTCTCATGTAACAAGTATTTGCCATTATGTTAGGGTACATTTGTCACTCAACCTGGTGTTATACAAGGAGATCTAGTATGACTATAAGTAGTTATAATGACTCCACCTGGTGTTATACAAGGAGGTCCAGTATGACTATAAGTAGTTATAATGACTCATCATTTATGCGGTTGTAGGTTATTTTCATGTATCTACATATGGCACTTTGAAGTATCCATTTGAAAAAGTGCAATAGAGATATTGCATTAAAAAATGAAGATAAATAGAAGTTTTGAAGTAATGTCGACTTATAAATGTAACTAGTCGCGGTTCTTTTATCTACGATTCTATATTGTCTAGGAACAACACATAAGACCCCTCGTATCACTGACGAGTCCTGACAATGTGTTTTAGTTGATACGGTTCTGTTGTTCCTTGCACAGATATGTGTTGTTCACTTACGTGTCTGTTGAACAATCCTCTACACTTCTCCTGTAAATGTTAAGTGGTGCATGTATATGTTTTAGCCTGTTTTAACCCTTCTATATTTTAATTGAATCTCGTTTGTACATGTGGTTTGTCTTCTGGTTTTCTCTACAGAATAAAAACTCACGTGGATTTGAATTTCAAATATATTGGGCTTTGAAACACTTTAGTAACACATGGAAGAAACAAGATATATCTTTTAAGCTTAAATATAAAGTTAATATTGCTATAAACAAAGCAAAGACTGAACAAATGAAATACTTAAACGGAAGCCCAAGAAAGGTAAGAGAATAAGATTATGTGTTCCGGTGAGGGTTTAATATTTCATTACGGTTTCTTGACGAAAACTTCAGTCAAATTTCGAAACAATTACACTCATTCAAAGTGAGTCATGGAAAGGCAACAAAAAACTTGGAGCCGAATTAATAAGTATCAAACACAAGCACTTCATATCACACAAGGACAAATAAATGGGATTTTCTTGTTCGTGTCTGACATTGTTTTGAGATTTGACACAGACCCATTTTATTTCAACAAAATTTTATTGTTCAAAAATACATAATTGATCAGAAATCGGCCTAAGCCTATATAAATCCAGTTACAAATAAATGAGTAAAGTTTGTTGAAGCAAATATGTAGAAGCATACAAAATATGTACAGCAGATTGATCAATATTATGGGATGTAACATATAGAATTGATTAATTATTAGTTAAAAGGGAGAAATAACTTTCATCAAATTTTCAGTGTATCCCAAAGTTAGTTTTATGGTTATTTATTCGAGACTCAAAATATATCATAATATGTAAACGTAGAAAAATGCATGTAATTTTAACTTTGACTGATATAATGATCACCTTATTGATTCATCATTTGACAGATGTAGCCGGAGATGACGCTTCATATCACTATTGTTGAATGCTGTTAATATAATCAACAAAGGCTGGGATGAAGAGCAAAATAAGCCACTCATAACATTTTTGATCAGAGGATTGGGTTGATGATATTATGGAAATATGAAACAAAAATATACACAGCTGAAACAAGATTAATATTCATTTTAATCACTCATTTACTGGATTTCTCGAAAAATATTTTGTATATGCTCAGAACATAAACCATCAGCATTAAGCCTAGTTGTTCGGATTTTGTAAAATTATAGGCGTATTCAAGAAATACAATCGAGTAACATTATGTGTTTAATTCAGAGTAAAGAATATATATTATTTTATTATGGTTTAACTTAATATCCCAATTATCAGACAACAAATCATATCTATTAAATCAAAATTTAGGACCTAGATTCTCTTAATGGGATAACTACAATTCACCACCAACAGTGAAGTACTACAATTGAATTATTATGTATCATTAACCTCTTTCAACAATGACTAAATCATATCCCAATAACACTACTGTATTCACTTTATTTAATAAATATATAAATATTTAATACACAGGACGTCACTGCCAAATACCAAAAAGCTACGTACGATTTAGCCAACGCTTTAGATGCACCTATTAAGCAATAGTCTAGACCTACTCAATTATGATAGCTCCCTTTTCAAACAAAGGATACACTGACACTACAAATGTATGGCTAAGAACTACACAAATGTTTATTTTGTGCGAAATATATCCAAATTAAATAAGAAATATGAAAGAAAAAAATGTTCAACTGATCAAAATTCTGGTGACTTTCAGATGTAATGATGTTGTCTTATCTTTAAATGACATGAAAGTTATTGACTATGTTCAACGTTATACATGTACTCACCAGAATTGAAAAAGAACATGACAGACTCTAACATCAGCCACTTATCTCGATTTCTTTCCAACAACGAGTAGCTTCTGACCATGCTGTATGGTTATATGATATGAGTTCCTCGGAACTGTGTGTGTCGTCTGAATACATTGTCACGGTAAACCAGAAATTGAACTGGATGTGCAACGACCAACCATAAAGTTGTAATACCAAATTTCATTTCTATAACTTGAAGCATAATGGGAAAACTGCGCAAAGCAATATTCATGAGAAATTTTCCAAGTTCCAGGGGACATAACTCAGCCAAGAAGGGCCACAAACAGCCAGAAATCAAACTTAAATCTGTACCCTTGCAACAAAAAAGCCATATACAAAATTTCATTTCGCTAACTCAAAGCATAAGCCAAAAAAGTCCGGAAAACAATATTCCCAGGAAATTTTCTAAGTTGAAAAGGGCATAACTCTGCCAAAAAGGGTTACAGACAGCCGGAAATCGTGCTTAATCTGTACCCTTGCAACAAAAAGCCATATGCCAAATTTCATTTTGATAACTCAAAGCATTACCGAAAAAAGTCCGGAAAACTTTCGTACGGACGACGACGACGACGCGTGACGACGGACAAAGTGATCCCCAAGTGTCCGCCAGCTCTGCAGGCTACACAAAACCGGACGTATGTATTTGATGCTCGATATTATTGCTGTTGATTTCGTTGTTGGTTACCGTGCTCTAATTTGGAATTGTGACATAACTTACTTGGATTGGCCATTATTCATATGGGGAGTATCGTCAGTAAATAAGAAGACGCTTAGTTTTACGGAACACCCGGTCTTATTATCCTTGTTTATCAGGATCCTGCGTGTAAATATATTGTTTCTGTTGATAACTTCCCAGGTGTTATATAGTCTTGATATATTCAGTCGTGTTGATGGTCCATCAGATGAAGATATCATATAACAAAATGTAAACTTGGTTAATATTATCAATAACACCCCTAACAACGCTAATATGTAATAAATTGTAAACTTGCTGAGTACTGAATAGCATCTCTGACAAAGCTAGGATTTCTATTATACGCTAATATATATATTAAATGTAAACTTGTTGAAAACTGTCAACAGCATTCCAGACAACGTTACTATATAATGAAAAGTACTGTCAATGATACCTCTGACAAAGCAACTATACTTAAGTTCTAGACGTGTTTTTTACCGTTTATGGCAGTTAACATAGGCTAAACTTGCTTAGTTCCTTCGATGGTACAGTGACACACACTACAAACTTGTTCATGTCTGCAGCAACGCCTGCAAGTGATTGTATGTCCACAGGGTACAAATGTAGCATCTGCCGTGCGCTCCCGACATATCTCACACAGCAAGTTCCATTGGTAGGTAGCTGAATTAAAAAAAGAACCAAGGAAAATATTCAATATGATAGTAGAACATTGTTGAGTTTATGTACAAAAAACGAGGCAAATATGAACACAGTTACACGGAGATGAACAAGAACAGAAATAATAAGACCAATGTGCTTTGATAGTAAGCGTCTTCTGCTTCATCAACGACATCCGCCATGTCAATCTTGGTCAATCCGAGTAATTAATGTCACGTTCTCAAATGTTTTACAACATAATCTACAGGCAAACTAACAAGCATGACATACGTCTAGCTTCATATCGCACATGAAATAGAATAGTTCTCAATGAGATCACTACGACGACCGTAAAACTCCTCTATAACATTTATCAACATGCATATTTTGACATGTAAGCACCATAGGTTCATAATGCAGGAATGACTCTTTTAAGAAATGGAAAATTCACAATAAGGAATTGAAATCATCAGGCTTATCATACAGTTTGTTGGAAAGCTGCCCGTTCGTATCGTTGTAGGAAAAGATCGGAAAAAGTCTGTCGTGTCCTTTATTTAGCCAATTCTCCAACATGGTCTTTAACGAAATTAATAAATATCTTGAAATTCATATTTCAATTAACTGACGGGGTTTCACGATATTTAGGACCATTCATTAAAAGTTCTTACAGCCAAACATTTTGAATAATGCTTAAATCATCAGTTACCATGTGCCCAGTTGGATCATAGTTTTAGGTAACGGTAGAATAAGCTGACGGAGGACTAATTTAATGCCATCTTCATCCAGTTGTTACAGCGTTTGCTTGTAATTGAAAAGGTTGGATGCAGATGGCGTGGAGTATATGTATGAAATTGCAGGTGTTTTTATGCTTTGAAAGTATCCTGGAATGTTAGCTCGAGCAGACTTCTGGTGTAAAATATTGCTGATATTTCAGCATCCATTTCCTTACTTGCAAACGCAACCTTCATGAATTGGCAAGTTGTTGGAGAATCTAGACTATCTGTATGAACAGGATTTGTGCCACATCATCAATGAAGTCTCCAAGCTAGTTTCCACATGTCACCAGAAAGAGTATTAACTGAATTCATTTGGAGTTTTCGTAGCACGGCCAGAGGAAGCAACTATACAGTAGTTCTAACATGATGGGCAACTGTTTTCTTTTTTCTATTGAGGATATGGTTGGGCTTTAGTTTGAACAGCCTTCAAACAAACATCCCACCAGGTAATTCATGATTACAGGAAACTACTTACAACAGGTGTTTCAATACGCTGGTTAACTACGATAATAAGATAGTGAAGATAACTCATGAATACTACATAACCAATAAACAACTGTGTCATTATGCTGGATTAAATACAATAAAGTTAATTCATAATCACCAAAATCGTGATTATCAGTAATTGGTATGAAATTACAATTACTTGTTATTCGTTATTACAGGTAATTAATTATTATAGATTGATGTATTAAAGATAATTATTATGCGTAATAACTTACAAACGGTGTGTCCTGTCCGTGTTTTTCTGGTTACACGGGGTGAATATACCGTCTACGAAAAAAAAGCAATGTAAAACTCAGAAGTGAACCATTATTAGTTATTTTAGCGAAGTAAATTATAAAGAAATTTAGTTACGAAGGTATAGTAAGAAATGTGTATGTACACTGTTTCTAGGTTGTAATAAGGTAGGCGATCGGATGTTTGTTTACACATGGTCAGCAGTCTTTGTTGATCAACAGTTAATGTTACATGTAGTTTATCATTTCAATACTAGTGCACAAGTCAGATAGATAGGGCCATGTGAATTGTGTGGTCGGTGTGGCGATGCTCATCTGTGTGCTGGTTCCTTATGCAACACTTGTTTATTCCATCATATCTTATATCTAGCTAAATATGGTCTACCCATCTGACCTCTATCTGTTATTTAGTATAAAAAGAACTCTCTTGGCCTGCAGAGAAGAGAAGAGCGGAGGCCTGAAAGGAGAAAGGCCAGGCTCCATTGGCGGAACGCCCGCTCGCTAGGGCTTTTTGCCCGAGTAAGAACATCTCCACTTATAAACTTTGGTACGGAAAAGGATGGTTATTGTATATAGCACACCTACATATTGTACAAAAACATAAATATAAAGAAGAATAAAACACTGTCAACATTTTCCATCATAGAAGATACAAAATGTTTCAGCTAAAAAGGCAAGAGAAACAATCGATCTGTCGGTCACTGCGATCACTTTTTATTTAGTCTTTGTTTGGTAGAATTTCACGTTCTTTATACTTCAGTGACTGAGATTTTATCTTTTCACATTTATATGACCAAAATTAAATGCTTCCTAAAATAAGCAACTTACCTTTCGTTGTGCAACTTTTGAAACATTTCGATTCGAAATGGGCGACGGTCCTGAAACATATTTTTTTAAATATTTATTTTGTTTTTCAAACATTTTTGCATTACATAATTCATGATACACATCATCATAATCATCATGACTGTGATAAAGTATCATCATCAACATCACTAAGATGAAACATCATTACAGTCATCTATACAATATTCACACACACACACACACACACACACACACACACACACACACACACACACACACACACCCATACCCGTGCGACAAACATGAAGAGGTACATACATTTACACTTACATAGCGAGGTCATTACTTTCCGTTACTTAAATCACCCACTGTGCCACACGGCATCGAAGGCTATGCTTTGTGATTGGTAAAAATCATTTCAATACGATAAAAAGAGAATCCAGTACGTCATAAAAGTCATCAACACTACGCACTGTTATAGAGGTATTTACAACAGTCTACAATACTACAGAGGTATTGGTAGATATAGAATATATTAACACTCCGTAACAAAACTCATCTATCTCGCCGAGGTAGGGATAAAAATATAGCTCATAATTGCAAATTATAGTTAAAGTCGCCAGGTTCTATTAATGAAAAATAATGGTAAAAACCAACACAATATTTAAACTAGACTTATTGATGGAATTTGATCCATAAAAGGGTTCCCACACAACCTTGAAAACTTGAAAAAGCCAGGAAAATAGAAAACAAATTTCCTGGTTGGGAAAACTTTGTGAAATATCATAAAAAAAAAGAAGAAAAAAGCCTGAATTTCATAATTTATAGTTTTGATTATTTGATTCAGTTGATGAAAATTATTTGCACCAACAATAATCAAACAAAGGATATACTAGCCTGGTGTAAAAGAGCCAACATGACTCATTTGGATTAACCAAATATAAGTAATACATGTATTTATTTGTTGAATCTGACTACAACATAGTACATCTTTGCAGAACAGTAAGAAGCTGCATGCAATGTTATATATTCCAAAACCTTGGATTGTAGATTACCTTGAATTTCTCTTTATGACCTTGGAAAAGCCTTGAAAAGGCCTTGAATTCTGACATCAAATAAGTGAGGGAACCCTGCCATAACTATAAAGATACAATGGCCGTTATTTTGCAAAATTCAATGTGTTACCTTTTTTTAAAAATATATGAAAGCTTTCTGCTATATATAGTATATGGAGTACTGAGGTAATCAAAGATATCTAGGACTTTTAATTAATATCAAGATCTGATAACACATTTGACAGACTTGAATGTATATTACCGAGGTATTAACACTTGACAGACTTGAATGTATATTACCGAGGTATTAACACTTGACAGACTTGAATGTATAGTACCGAGGTATTAACACTTGACAGACTTGAGTGTATATTACCGAGGTATTAACACTTGACAGACATGAGTGTATATTACCGAGGTATTTACACTTTTGACAGACTCTGAATGTATATTACCGAGGTATTAACACTTGACAGACTTGAGTGTATATTACCGAGGTATTAACACTTTTGACAGACATGAGTGTATATTACCGAGGTATTAACACTTGACAGACTTGAATGTATATTACCGAGGTATTAACACTTTTGACAGACACGAGCGTACATTCCCGAGGTATTAACACTTTTGACAGACACGAGCGTATATTACCGAGGTATTAACACTTTTGACAGACATGAGTGTATATTACCGAGGTATTAACACTTGACAGACATAAGTGTATATTACCGAGGTATTAACACTTTTGACAGACATGAGTGTATATTACCGAGGTATTAACACTTTTGACAGACATGAGTGTATATTACCGAGGTATTAACACTTTTGACAGACACGAGCGTATATTACCGAGGTACAGTATTAACACTTTTGACAGACATGAGTGTATATTACCGAGGTATTAACACTTTTGACAAACGTGAGTGTATATTCCCGAGGTATTTACACTTTTGACAAACGTGAGTGTATATTCCCGAGGTACAGTATTAACACTTTTGACAGACATAAGTGTATATTACCGAGGTATTTACATTTTTGACAGACATGAGTGTATATTCCCGAGGTATTTACACTTTTGACAGACATGAGTGTATATTACCGAGGTATTAACACTTTTGACAGACATGAGTGTATATTCCCGAGGTATTTTCACTTTTGACAGACTTGAGTGTATATTTCAAATTTCGTACAGACCCCTTATATAAACATCAACACTTTGTCAGGACCGTCTCAGCATTTCTGACAAGTCCGAGCAGAATCCCACCGGTGGAACTCTAGAAGAGCAATCAGGTCAGATGACATAAAAAAAAGCATGCAGACACAAACCTATGCCGACAGCAATATATTCACACTTGGTCATCTATTATTTCATTACTTCAAATTACTGTGTAATGAACCAAATCATGAGATTAAATGTGTTTTTGTGAAATCATGTTTGACCCTTAATCACTTTTTCCAGGAAACAAGAGGTGACTGGAACACCAGGAATATATTACAATTTTACCAATCAAAATTAATTGACTGCAACCAGAAGTTCCAAATGTGACTCAGTAATAAGAATAGACCCCATATAAAATTACTGTCAATATGAAAAAGAAAATTAAGAAGACATGATGTAAAGTTTTTATTGATAAAAACAAAAAAATCATGACAATAATGAAGTTTGGAACCTGCAAAGCAACTAAACCAAATCATGGTGTGTATGTAAAAATACAGGAAACAGTTTAGGAATATTCACCACCATTAAATTAGTAGTTCTGCACACACATTTACTCATCTTTACATAACAGCATTGGAACAAACCAAGTACAGAATAATAAAACAGGAAATATGATAATAATTATATGTTATTGCAATATTCATGAAAAACCTTTCATGCAAAAAGTGTGATTTGTGTTGCTATTTATTCTGTTTAAAATGACCCAATTACCATGGATCCATTTCAGGATTGTTTTACAAAAATATTGAAAATTAGAAGCGGATGTAAACTATCGAGTAATTTTTATTTATGTTTAACAACTACAAGTTATATTCATAGTGAAAAACACAACTACAAAATTGAGAAAACATTATGAGTAAGACAACAGAAAAAAAACAGAATTTGACCATAAGGTCACAAACATTGCAATTTCTTGACTCACTTGAGTTAACATTTATTTTCAGATAGAAAAAAATAAAATAAAAAGAGATACATGAACATAGATAAAATTGTCTGTAAAACATTGCATCATTCTTAATAAGGAGGCTCCCAGAATTTTTCAATAAAATTCCTAAACATAAGATAGTAAAATGCCATGTTGTGCTAGAAAGTTTTGATCTAACGCTTGGCCACTTGGAGAGCAATCTTTATTTTATCATATAGCTATTTTGAATATATTCATGTAATATTCTGTATCTGATTCAGTTGCAAAACCACATATAAAGTAGCAATTGAAGAGAAACAGAATTTTCTGCATAACAAAATTATGGTAAAAAATTATACCTAATATGGGCACCTCCTTTGGCAAGTTACCCACACCAAATGCCATTATCAAGAATTATACAGTTATTTCTGAAAAATATCAGACTTTATTGCCAACCTGATTTACTGTATATAATCATACAAAATAAAACTAGAAAACTGATGTACTTCATCAAAAAAAGGCCCCCAGCCAATTGCAACTCTAAATTCAGAAATACAGGTGTGTAAATTGACCAATTAGAAAGAGGCTTCCATTTTTGCTAACATGGCAACCAAACTGTTATGACTATGTTAGACATAAGTCATAAGTTCTACAAAGCAAATTTGATCTACATAAAAAATAAGTAGATTTTGACCAACTAGAAGCCTTCATTAAACTAATTGAATTACAATTTAAATCCATTGCCCTATGAATCACTCTTATCACTTTTAAGTGTAATCAGAATTGGTTTACTAGAACAGTAATTATATTCCAAAATGTTCCACATTGGAAGTGAGGCCCTGGTGACCATTTTGGATTACCAAGAAAAAATTAAACGATTACTGCACATCTACAAACCATAGGCTATTACCATGTGCACTTTTAAATAATCTATGCAAACCAAATATAAATGGACAGACAGACAAGGTAGTTCCGATAGGGCTCATGTATCATAGATGCGGAAACTACATACTTCATAAGGGCTATTACAAAACATCAACCCTGGGGAAGGACCCTTGAATTAATTGCTTCTATAATAACCTCTTTCTCTCATTACATCATCAATGTAAACTTGTATCACCTTGTTTGCTCACTCAGGTGTTTAATTCGAATCAACTTCTATACTTTATTCAGATGCAATACCTTTGCAATAGGCTAAAGAAAAATGTACTTGTTTCTCAGGTCCTCTTTCATCCAATAAAAGTGTTATTAAAAAAGATATTGCCACCTAGGGCATTTACCAATCTTCATACTGTAGAAGCTACAAGTATGTGTAGAAGAATCAAACAGGAAAAGAATCTTTGGCGAAAATGCTGATGAACATACTGATGGACGCAATGATAACAAGAATTATAACACTTACCAAAGTACAAAAAAAATAAAATCATTTCAATGAAATGACTAAAATGTGATTACATACTTTGATAGTTGTTCAAAACTTCTAAACTTTTGTGGGCCCACATAGCGACCTACCTTTCCTGTTGTTTCAACATTTTTTTGGTTTTGATTTTTTTGCTTGTTATCCAATTATGAATGGTGTTTTTTATTTTCTTCCATTCCAACCCCTTAAGGCAGCTATGTGCTGCAATAGCTTCTTCACATTCTTTCCTTTTGAGTTCCTTGCGAAGGTGGACATTTCCATGAAAAATCAGCTTTAGGCACTGCTGTTGAGTCACGTTTAGCTTCACTTGGCCTGAAAATGACAAGTACAAATTCAAGATGTCATAGACACTATGTCATAGGTAACTTCACTTGAACTAAAACAATTTTAGACAAGACTTAAGGGTAAATTATTAGTCACTTTAATATCGCTTTGTTCTTGACACCCCCCCCCCCCCCCCAAAAAAAAAAAAAATTAA